CCAAAAGAACAACATAACAGGCATCAATATGCTAAACATAAGAAAACAAGCTCCCCTTTTTTCTTCCTGTTTCTCATCCTTATCTTTCAGGTAATTTAGCCAGGAAGCAAAGGATCACATACACTGGTGTTTCCCTAGGCTAAGCTTATGGCACACACCAGGGGCTCCTGTCTAGTTGTGTGAGTAGCTGGCAGGCAAACAGGCAGGCAGCACACAGCCAGCTGGTTGCCCCTGCTGCCAAAATGCTTTCCAAAGAAACTGGTGGTAAAATAAATACATATTCAGAGAATATTCCAATTGTGGTAAACAAGAAACTTTTGGCTGAGAAGTATTCACAAAAAATCATAACTAGCTTATGCCCTTACCCTCAGCCTGTGTACCACTCTTAGAATCCCCTGATATTTTTTTTTTCATTCTGTGTGTCTTTCTATCTGCCTCCCTTCATGCTTTTTGTACACTTAAACTCCTTCCCCAAACAGTACCTAAAAGATGCCCAGTGTGATTGTCCCATCAGATATTTAATAATCCACTTTATGCTTTTAGAAAAAATCCACATTTTCTGCTTTCCTTTTGGTCACCAAAATCAAGAAAACTTTCTTTCTTGGTACCTTTGAAATACATGAGACACCTCACACACAACCAGAAAAAAAATGCCATTGAGTAGACTGTTAGGCCTGCCATTCACTTGGAGCCAGCTCTGCTGTCCTTGGGCATCTGACTACAGATATTTAAATGTAAAATTTCATTTAACATCGTAAATTATGCTTGGTTGCAATGTGCAGAGACACGGTGGCTACAAGTGTTATGGAGTATTTAATGCCTTGTTTTACAGTGTGTATAGATGAAAGTGAATACAAACTAAGAATTAACTAACAGCACTCTTTTACTGTTCCAAAAGTACTTTTGTACTTAAATGACTGTAAAGGCAAATCTTTCCCAGATACCTGTTAGAAAAAAAAATGTAGAAAACAATTTAAAACTCATGTCTCTAAAAGTGGTAAAGACTTCATTGATTGGTACTTAGCTTTTAATTATACTTTGTTAGGGACAATGGCCTGAGACCTCCCTGTGTTGGCTTTATGCCTCTGGCACTCACTTTGATGAATATCTCAGATACTGTAGCTCTAGGGAGCTCAGTTGGTGTAGTTCACTCTTTATATCCTGCCAATATGAGAGGCTGAGAAAGCCTGCCACTCCCACTGTTGTCTTAAGCATATCTGCTGCCCTGAAGATAAACTTAGACAAAATATTTCAGCTGTTTCTGGAATAAAACCTTTCTGGACAAAAAAATACCCTGCACAAAACAAAGCAAGGCCAAACTACCGTGACAGTGCTCTCTCACACGATATCCTTCCTGTGCACAGGAACACTGGAAAGGCAAACTCCATTTGCTCTCTTCTCCCAGTCTCTTCCCCTGCTCCTGAACTCTGTGTTGTTGATGCTGGACTCAAACTGGTTTGCATTCTGATCTGGAGCAGTCTGGACTGCACACTTTGTTCTATAACAATCCTGAATTCTGGTCATTTTAGCTACAGTGCTGACAGAAAAGAACAGAATAATACAGTTATGGAAAGAGAGACCATAGAAGGAATGTCTCCTTTATTCATGTCTGACTCCCCTGATACTTGTGTATGATGACTTTTGAAGTAAAATTTCCTTTAAACAGTATAATCATGAACAAAATCTGTGCAGTAGTTTTTAAGGCCAAATTTATCTTCTAGTGATTAAGACATTGATTCTCTCATTTTCATTTGCTTCTAGTAGAGAGAAAAAAGTTATTCCTTCTTGCTATTTCTTAACTGTTCATGATAACCTCATATAGAGTCTAGAGACAGATTAGACTTCATGCTGAACTAAATCCAAACTCGGAGTGTTCCTTTTTTTACCGAAATAGAAAATGTTGATACAAATTTGATTTTATTTTTTGATTCCTAACGTATTTTTTCCTCAGGGTTACATTACCATGGAGAACATTTATACAATGAGCAAAAATTTGTGAAAGTGGAGGTCAGATTTTTTTTTTTCAGCTTTTAGGCTTTAACAACTAAACATTATTCCTTTTCTAAGGGAAATTCAGAAATATCCTGAATTATACATGAGCAGTTTTCCTGGGCAACATGCAGTTTTACTCCTTACCATACAGAAGAGGAATGGAAAGCATTACACACGAAAGCAGCTGTGGTTCAAGTGTTTGTAGCTTAGTTAGAACTCTGTTTGTTAAGTCAGACAAACAGGAAGCAGCCTAAGTTCTCCTAATTGCTATACTCATAACTGCCATGCAGCAGAGCTAAATCTGTAGTTTGCAATTAATGTTCAAACCGGACTTAGAAAAAGTAAAATTATTTGCTACTTGTTACAGCACAGCTCTGTTAATTTAATAATCAGATAGATTTTGTTACCAGATATGGAATGAAAAGCAAATATCTTGTGTGAACCAGGAATTCATTAAGTACAAGCTTTGACCTCTACTGGTAAGGAAGTAAAACAGGACCTGTATTTACACAAATATTAAGAGCTGGGAACAGGAAGTTAGTTGCAGTCCATGTTTAACTTGTCCTTTAATATGTATGCATTTTAGAACAGATAGTCTCCAACTGATGCTGATATAACATATCTGCTAAGATAATACGGTTAAGTACATACTTTTGTTTACTCTTTACTTGATACATTCTGATCCTTTTTCTTTTTCATGCATTTTGATTGACTTGGATTTTAATTAAAAAAATAAATAAATATAGAAATAGTCACTATAGTCACTTTGCCAAAGTTCCAAAACACTTGGACGTCTGAATCGTGATAGAACATATTTGAAAAACATGACTTATATCCTGTTCTGAAATTTGGATACATCTTTCCAGTTCTAAGGAAATTAAGGTATTGGAAGAATGAAACACAGTTAAGGGTGTAAAAAGTGTGGAGGGATTAATGAAGGTGGTTTCTATGCATATAGTTTCAAGAAAAAAGGAGATTATGGTTATTTTTCCCGTGGGCATAGAGCTTTATGTATGGAGAATCACAAGAAGAATGCATTGCTAGAAATCAAACATCCCCTTGCAGCAAGAACAAACAACTTGCACTGCTTTTGTGTGTCTTTACTTTTGCCTGTTACACATACATGAATGGCAGCTGCAGCTTGCACCAATTATTTACAGCTGCTTGGTTTCTTAGGCCAGACAGCTGTGTTTCTGTCATGTCTCTTCCCATTAGTGGATTATTTAATACATTAAGACCTCACTGTATGGAGAGTCTGGCAACCATTTTGTGTTTATTTTAATGTAAAGATGTCAGCACTATATTTTCTCACAAAGATTTGAATGTCTTGCCCTCAATTTTATATGTTACAATTCTGTCCTGAAAGCTCTTTGCTTAAATGTAATGATTAAATGTAATCAAATCTATATGCTATTATCAGTTACAGTTATCACTGTTACAGTAAGAACAATTTTTCGCATGAGAAAAAAACCCAAACCACTATTTGAAAGTTCTGTATAAGTAAGTGCACGTGTAATTTTAATACTATGATGTTTCTAAGGAAGATTAAACATAAAAAGTCTGAAGAATCAGTTGGAAAATGAGAATTAAATGTTAAATTGCCTTTATTTGGGAGTTTCAGTTTGGCAGTTAGTTTTTAAACTGAGCACAATATAGCACTGACTTGCTGCATTGTGCCATGTAGTTATATCTTTACTGTCTCAAGCTTGGATTTTCTGCCCTTGGGTCAGCTGGTAGGCGTCTCATATGCAAATGTACATGACAAATACAAAGAACTATTTCACAGAGCTTAGGTAGGATCCAGACTTAATTTTAGTGCTTACACTTGTAAGTATTGGTACTTCCTTGTACTCTTCATCAAAGTAATAGCTAAACTAGTAGTAGATACTCTTTACGAATTGTTCTCCACCTTTTTTTATTCCAGACTTTCTTTCCTTTCAGGTAAATGTTCCATTTCATTAATTATTGACTTGAAATCTCTAGTTTCTCATTGTTCAGTTTAAGAACACTCAAAGGGAGTAATAACAAAAACATGCATGTATGATGGTACATACTACAATGCAATATAAGACATTTGACAAATGTATTTTCTAAGGTGCAAAACGTTGATACTTTCTAAGAAATCAGACTACATATTGCTAAATGCATCTAATCCAAATCCAAGATCTTATCCAAATAATTTAGATGACTTTAACACTGTAACGAGGCTCAACAATATTTCCACCTGCTGATACTTTCTGTGTATAAATGTATATACACACAGATGTATATATATACACACGTACATATACACACATATGTACATACCTATATATACTGTATGCATATAACTATACACACTGTTCTTTTGATGTTTTCTGAAAACTTTGACCAAACAAAATGCTTAATGTGGCCCAAAGCACGAGAAAAAATGGCAGGGGCAGGTTTTGTTTCACTGCTGCATTTCTGGTATGATGTCAGTAATTCCACTTGAGTTAACGTTACAGTTGTTCCAAGGTCTGTGACTGCTGAGCTGTATATTATGTGCTTATCTTAATTTCTCAGCTGAGTACCAGCAGAATATTTGCTTTTTGAGAATATGAGAACTTGAAATTGCCTGTGGTGAATCTGGCAAGCTGAATTACTCCTGTGTTTACATATTTTTAATTAAATAAAACTAATACACCCATGAATGTTGGCTGTGGCTGAAGGCTGTGATAAAACTCACATTTACTTTAAAGGCAGTATTTTCCAAGTCTCAAAAGCAGTTGAATATTCATATCTGAGAAGTACCAGAATGTAAAGACAATTTAAAAAAAAAAAGAAAAAGGCAGCAAAGTGGAATGTTAGTTATTTTCATCTTTATCTATCTTTCCAGGCAGGATTCAATTTAACAGTGTTTCACTGATCTTACCCAAAAAGCTAGAGTTCATGGTGTCTACATATACTCTCACCAATTGCTACAACCCCTCACTACGTGGTGGAGTAGTGCTTGCATGAATGTGCAGGAAATGTCATGTGTTCCTTACCTTCATTGAGGAAGTGAATGTTTCTGGGTACTCTGGGTCTGGGAGCCTCTGGATTTTTCAATAAGATGCAGACATTGCAATGTCAGATGTTTCATACAGAGTCAGAAAAGAATGGGAGGACCTTCTTGATGTTATCCATTCTTGTCCTGCAAGAACTGCAAATACAGGTGCAAGGAAGTTTAATTCTCAGACTTCTGCTAGGCTGCATATAGAAAAGTGGGCTTTCCACACACCATTATTTTGAGGATCGAGCCAAATTGAGTTTCAAATATCATACTGCATTCCTACTAATTACTACTACTATATCTATATTCCACTGTATCACACTTATGATCTTGCTTTCTTCCAGTAATGCATCACAAAACAAGACTATATATCTGCCAGGTATTGGTTCAATCTCTTATTCTTCACCAGGGTGAGAAATATGTACGCAGAGGAGCTCTTGTTTAAAGAGCTGGTGTTTAATGAGCACCATTAAATGTAAAAGGAAAGTTGAGGTCAATGCCTTGCACACACTGTGTGCCAAGAAAGGAGCATTATGGTTCTCAGGTAAGCTTACTGAAATATAATGTTAGCTTATGGAAAAGACTGCCAATTTGCTAGAAGAGCACTGCTGAGGACTACAGCCTTTTTAAAGAGCTTTCAACAGACTTTTAAGATTACTGAATTCAGACAAGAGAGTCTGCTGAAGGGCTAGTTCTAGATTTGATACTGTATGGGAAGGCAGCATAGGTAACAAAGGACATATTTGATATACTTGTAATGGACTGCTGAGAAGGTGCTCTGCAGCATTTTTCATTGGCAGCCATTTCCCTTGTAACAAAACCTCCATGTGCAGTTTATTATACTCTGTTTATTTCTGTCAAGCAATAAAAAGGTCCTGGCGTTTTTCTGAAAGTTATTTAGTAGCCTTATATCCTTATATGCAATGAGACACAATAGAAAGAACTGTTTGTAGCCACTAGGTGCTATTTGAGAAGACTTGCATGTATTACAGCCTGTACTGACAAACAGAGGGAGATTTTCTGCAGAGGGCTGCAGGCTACAGTGTTACCTTAAAATACTACTCAGCTAAAGGACATTAGTGACTGTGAAAACACTTATGCTGGTTTTGCCATACTAATTGTATCTTCTGAATTTCTCCTCACATCTAAGAACAGTGGAGTGACTGGTTTTATGGGATGGAGGCTTTCTACTGTTTTCTACAACTTCCTGTGGCAATTCCATGACACACCAAGGAACTCGCCTAAGGCAACCTGTATCATGGGTTTCCTGGTTTTGGCTGGGACAGTCACTTTTCTTCCTAGTAGCTGGTACAGTGCAGTGTTTTGGATTTAGTATGAGAACAATGTTGATAACAAACCAGTGTTTTGGATGTCACTAAGTACTGCTTACCCCCTCCGTCAAGGACTTTTCAGTTTCTCACGTTCTGCAAGTGAGTAGGTGCACAAGAAGCTGGGAGGACAGTTGACCTGAACTGGCCGAAGGGGTGTTCCACACCACAGAACATCATGCTCAGGATATAAACTGAGGGGAGTTAGATGGATGGGTTCAACCACTGTTTGAGGATGGGGTGGGCATTGGTCACTGGATGGTGAGCAATTGTATTGTGCATCACTTGTTTGCTTGGGTTTTCCCTTGGGTTTTATTATTAGTTATTAATATAATGTAACATCGGGGAGTTTTATATTAATATTATTATGTTTTACTTTGTTTCAATTATTAAACTATTGTTACCTCAACCACGAGTTTATGGGGTTTTCTCCTTCCCTGATTCTCCTACCCATTCCATGGCAGAGTGGAGGCAGGAGGGAGTGAGCAAGCAGTTGTGTGCTACTTACTTACCAGCCGGAGATAAGCCATGACAATGGATTCTTACTTGGAAAGAACTTTATCTTGGATCAAACAAGATAACAATCTTGGCCGTTCTCTTAACGATCTGGGCTGAGGACATTAATAATTTATATGATCATTCATCTGCAATTGCTTTCCTAACAGTAAGTCAGATAGGGAAACCACTGGATTCCTGAAGCCACATTTATTGCCTATAATGCCGTTTCCTAAATGAAAGTTCTTTCCAGTTTCACAGGTAAAAGCAGCACAACTCTTAGGACATGACTGCTGTCTGTATTGCTACACTGAGTTGCATCACTAAAGTTATAATTCTCAAGATTGTTTTTTAACAAGATGTGAAAATAATGTTCTGTGTGTTGTTTAAGATTTAGCACTTTAATATTGGCTACTTGCTAAATTAAATCCTAAAAGACCAGCAGAAGGCAGTTAAATGACCATGATCAAAATTCTTGTCAGCAAGCCTCAAGCTCAACAATGACATAAACATGATTCACCACATCAAGATATGCTTGAGCATTTGAGGCTTTGAAATATTTACAGCAATATCCTTTATCGGATTCAAATATAAGAATACATAGATGGAAACTGACTCTGAGCTTTTGATCACTTATTTTTAGTGAAGATGAAACCCATCTGTTTTCATGTTGTCTTTCCAAGTATTCAGCTCATTTTGAAGCATCTGGATTTAAAGCAGTCAGGCCATTGGTTCTGCCAAAGGAAATGTTCACTTATGGCTATTGGCAAGGAGAGAAGGACGAGAAACTCTCATCATTACTAAAGTATGTACTGTTAAGTATCACCATTTAAAATGTCCATATTACCGATTAAAAAAGAAACATAATGGTTTCCCCAACTGTCTTCTGCAGACCTGGGAGACATAAAAGATGATCTACATGAGTCTTTCTGGATCTTACAGCAGTGATGATCCACATAAAGACCAGTAACACACCGTGAGACTCATGGCTAAATATTGCTACTGAGTGGAATACCTCACTGAACCAGGCAACTTTAGTCTAATCACCCATACAAATGGTTCTGTTCTCACTGTGTCTAATGTAGCAATACAAAAGCAGAACAACAGCATAAGCATCCTGGACTTGTGATCTTACACACGGTATCATGCTTCGTTGATATCCTTACTTTGGAGTCATTCAAGAAAGAAACTTCCGAGCAACTTTAAGAAGTTTGGAGCTATATGACATCCACCTGAGAGCAGATCAGATAAACTCAACTCACAGTGCCTTGGAGTCAAAATCCAAACATTAGGCTTGTACACTTTTTTGATTCCTCAATTTTTAACATGTTTCTACTTCAAATTTTGAAAAAATGCTGAAATTCTTCCCTACCTCTCTGACACTGAAGTTCTATGGATATCCATCCATAATTAGGCAGAAGCATTCAAAAATAGTAAGCTACTGAGATGTGATTTTATCCTTTCTAATGTGACAAACCAGGACTTTTGTTTGGTCATATCTGTGACTTTTTCACATGTGACATTGCCCTACTTAGATGGGCCTGGAGTAATAAAGCCTACCATGCAATAACATTGTTTCTAGCTCAAAAAAATACGCATATGCAGACAGAGAACAGTTCATCGGTGAAATAAAAAAAAAAACCCACACCCACATTAAAAAACCCCAAAACCAAACCCAATCCTGTAATTATAGCTGTAGTAGCTTGTTTGTGGTTGGTATGGAGTGAAATACAGAGCTGAAGAGTGTCTCTCTCTCTCTCTCTCCAGTGACTAGCTAACTCTCCCATTTGAATCCCCCATGCTACTGAATATTATACTAAACACAGATCATTCATTACAGGCTCACTTACAAGCCATGAAAACCTATCATGAATGTGCTGTTCTGGCTGCTCTGGAATATTCAGACAGACTCAAGCCTTGAAGATGACCCTCAAAGTTCCATCAGCAATACAGGTTCATGTAAGCGTGAAGGGGATGCCTGATTAAGAAACCATCTGGTGAGCTCAAACTATTTTAACCCATAAACTCAAGACAAAATGTCTTTAGGGTGGGCTCCCCTCAAAGAGATTAACTGACCACTTCAGCTGAGTTGAAAGCAACACACCCAGCTACCATGCAAATTATTAGCCAGAAGTCATGTCTAGCAACTCAGAACTACTGCAAACACATAAAGTGATAAACAACAGAATCAGTTCTTGAGATATAGTGATTCACAGAATTTTTCGGTACTTTCCTAGCAAATTAGCCAAACACCACGATTTAAGATCTCTGTCTATTCTAGTCGATTCATAGGCTCCTTTGAGGAAAAAAGCCTCAACTTCCTGGTAGTGTAGTCTTATTTGAAACGACTTATGAAATTAGTGTCATTGCAAACACTGAATGTAAAATACCCCATCCTACAGCAATTTTTTTGTGACTCATAGGGTTGTTCAGGAAACTTTCCTGTTCAACCATCCAAGAACCATTCTGGCAGTCACAGTCCCACCACCTGAGCTATGACCGGGGCCCTTCACATCGGGCAGCTCCAGTGAACCGAGGGCTGGCCCGCTTGACTCCCTACACCCCGCACACTCAGTCAGAAAAGATTTCCTTACCGGCTTAGCCTTGAGTTTCCCATAGCAGAGTCCCTAGACGTCCGGATCCTTAAAATAATTTAATCGTGGTGCAGCAACACAAAACCAGCTGGAGCTGGTGCCTCCGAGGAGGGACCCGAACAAAGGAATCTCTGGGCTTTTATACCCTCACAGTCTATGCGCCAAAGCCCAGGGTCTTTCGGCAGAGTCATCAGCTCCTGCTGTGTCTCTGAATGTCCGGTCCCCTGGCTGGGCCACAAGTCCCCGTGCCCTTTGTTATGGAAAGAGTCAGCAGTTCACGGCCCCTTGCCGGGGGTTCCTGCCATCCAGAGCTCAATCCTGAGCCCGCACTGCAGCTACGGGGACTACAGGTACTCCTCAACAAAGTGGTGGTTTTGGCAATTAGAATGTTTTCTCCTCTCGGACTCAAGAAAGAAACCCTAAATGTTTACTCTTTTTGGATAAAAAGAGCTGCACCTGAGCCTTCAAAATCGCACTGTGGTAAGTGAGCCAGACTATGTGAAGGACTTCTCAATAAAATTGAGTTTTCCTGAAAAGCAGACTAGAGGAATTACCATTTAAAACGATAAGAATCAGAATGCTTTTGATTAAAAGAAGAAAAAAAAAAAGAAAAGGGAGAAGACTGTAAACACAACTCTCCACCCACAGTATCCTCATAGCGCAGCCTTTCAACTTTGGGCACATTTTCCCCCCAGGAAGCCTCCATGGCCTCAGCCCCCCTCAGCACAAAGTCCCCTGTGGGTTCTCAGGACTCTAACCTCTGGGAAGGGATTCCTGCTCCTCTCCCTTCCCTACCACACCATTCACGCTATCCTCCAGGTTCACCCACTTTCTGTCGAGCGCAGCTGAAATCCCCTTCCCACCTACTTCCAAAACTTTCCCTTCCCTGCGCATGCCCAGCTGCACTCAGGGAAAGCGCAGCGCTCCTTGTACCTTATGCAAGAGGCACTTGCCAAAAGGAAGGAGGAGGCATTTTTCTTCTCCGCTGCTCACGTGCCCTTTCTTAAGGCAAAATACTATAAAATACACATAAAATTGCAGATAAATCGACAAAATGTGTACTGTCTCTTGTACTTTGAAAAAGAATGAGTATGGAGATGGGCTGATATGGCTTGTCAGGTACTATGTTTTGTGACGTGTTACTCGTGCAAGTACCTAAGAGAGCCTGGATGACCTGGGATAATATTGGTATTAAAATCTACCTCCTGTTCCGGTACATCAGGAAGATTTATGTTTTGTCAGAAGACAGAAAGATGTCTAAACATAAGTTTCTTTCTGCAGTCACTGGAGGAAGTTCCTGACTACTGAGGGATGAGTGGGGTTCTCCTCTGTCAGCAGTCCAAGGAAGCCATGCTCTGAAACCTCTCTGCAGCCACAGCCTTCTGGTGTATCCCCCAGGTGCCTCTTTTGCAGTCAATGATCACTCTGTGATCCTCAATGCCTGTGCTCAGTCTGCCAGAGCTCCCTGAACCCCTTACTGTCAGGGGGCACTCGCTGAAAAGTGATTCAAGGAGTGTTTGGTGGGACTGGGTGCACCATGACTGGCTGGTTGTGTCATGCAGCAAAGTGGGAATAACAGGTAAGCTTTGAGCAATGCCAAAGTTGGTTTTTTTATACCAAAGTATAAATGTATACCAGTAATGCTGGCTGTGTAGATCTGATGGAGTTTGTTTCAAACCTGGGACTGTTTTCTGTCTCAGTACTAATAAAACACAATGGTCATTTATGTATATGCAGTGTATCAAACTGAATTCAGCTATGGGATTGATTTCGTCTATTTTGATTATTGAAACTTTAGCATTAATTTTCCTTAATTTTTTTTTGCTGTAATTTATTCAAAAGTATATGTGCTCTGTTTTAAAAGCCAGTTACCAGCAAGGTATAAAAACTGTAATCTTTCTGGTGCAATTTAAATCTAGCATGCTAAGAAGTTTAGTTGATAAGTTCTAGGCCATGAGCAGGAGACTAATTAATAGAATTTTTTTTGAAAATGTTTTATTCAAAAAACATTTTTTTGAGGGGGAGGATGAGTTGGTTTTTTTAAATTTTTTTGTTGGCTGTAAGTATTATTGTTTGAAACCTAAGAGAGTCAACAGGCACTTTGGTATCTGTGGAAACCAGGATTCTGAGTAGATTAATAATCTTAAGAATCGCTTTTATATCAAGGAATCCAATCAAATTTAAAATGTTTACTCTTAACTGAGTTTCCAGGACTTCAACTACGCAATCAATAGATAGAGTATGTTTACATATTGCTAGCAGTCAGTGAGTCACTATTTAGCATCTGCATTTAGTGATGATGTTAATACCAGATTGTGATATCCATGCAATTTTCGCATTGGTTTCTTGTCTCAGATGGTCTAACAGCCAAGTTTATCTCATCTTCTACCTACAATATCTAGAGAAATTTATAGAATATTTTTATAGATTTTGCTTAAAGGGCAAAATTGAATCCTCTGAAGCAGAGCAGATGTGGGAGAAATGCTTTCTTGACATCTTATGGCAGTATTTCTTTGGCGTAATTGCTGAACTTACAGAAGAGCTTTCAGAGCCAACTGTTGTCTATCTGAAATAAGAACTTGTGGTGGGTTTACCCTGGCTGGGTGCCAGGTGCCCACCAAAGCCTCTCTATCACTCCCCTCCTCAAGTGGACAAGGGAGAGAAAATACAGTGAAAGGCTCATGGATAGAAATAAGGACAAGGAGAGATAATTCACCAGTTATTGTCACAGGCAAAACGGACTTGACTTGGCTTTTCACCCAGGATTTACCCCCTGGTAAATCAGTGCTGACTGTTCCTGATGGCTTCCTTGTCCTTCACATGGAAGGACCTTAAAATGGTTTCCAGGATTAGTTGCTCCTTCACTCTCCCAGGTACTGAGGTGAGGCTGACTGGCCTCTAGCTTGCTGTGATTTCCCTTAGAGGAAGTACCAAGATCTCACCTTGTCTATCAATTGCTCCAACTAGCAAACAATTACTTTCAAAGAAGTGTTGCTAGCCTTCAGTCTGTTGCTGGAAAGTCTAACCCCTAAAAAATCTCTTTCTGTGGCTTAGTAGAGTATTTTTATTCCTTAAATATTGCTTCAGATACCAGCATCTCCAAAATTCATAACATTTTAGGAATTATATGAAGTTGCTGTGATTTGTCGCATGCCTCCAGCCAATTATCTCTATTCTCCTTTAAGTATAACAAAAGCAGTTCCTTAAATAGAATCATTACTCTTATTTAGTAACCATTAGTTGTTCAAGAGCTAAAACTAATTGCTTTTTATTCTAGTGATCCTTCCTTCCTTCCTGCTGTCTGACGACATGACTCCTGGCCAATATCCCAGCAATCCTCCCTCAGCTGTCTCCCCTCCTCATTGCTTTCATGTGCCTAGGCCTCCCTTAGCTCTTGGACTGTGCTCTCTGCTACCGCCTACTGCACAAGTGCTGGGAAGAAAGACTAGAATCACTGGGAAGCTAGAGGTTAGGAAAAACGTTGATGTTTCCAGCCCAAGGCTGGAAATCTTTCAAAGCACTCAGAAATGGTAAAGAGCGTTCTATAGAAGGTTCAGACATAGAGGTCTCCTACAGACCTTGGGCTGGATTCCGTGACTGACAGCATGGGATGCAGTGGCTGTTTCTGTTTTAAGATGAGCTTTTCCTGCAAGGCCTAAATGCTATGACTGATTTGCAAGATCTGTTTTTCTGCCTTTCCTTGAGTTGCACAGCAAAGTGACTTCTATTTTACGGTAGGGAGCTATTGTTCAATCTCTACTATTCCCCACTCCTATTATTAATTCCTACTTCCACCAGCACTGGTCCTTTATACTTCCTAAATAGGGTGTAGTAAACACTGCTCTGCCAGGCAGGAAGAAAATTATTTATGCCAATCTAAAGATGAGGACACTAGGAAAGGAAGAGAGAGCAGTGGAACTGGATCTGGCTTTACTGATTATTTGGCTGACAAGAATTAATGACAGGACTTGTGTCTATCAGAGTACCCCTAATAACCATTCACCAGCACAAACTGACACATCCTTTGTACCAGCCTGTGCTATAGGAAACTAGATACGGGTCTACAGTTCTTTTATTCACCTTTAAAATCTGTCAGTCTAAGTGACTGGCTGCTTTATCAATGCCAAGGCAAACCTTGATCAAGCAGCTATCTTGTTTAGTGCTCTGCTTCTGTCACCTCCTACATGTAGCTTTGTGGTCTCTGCTGTGTAGGCCCTTGTGCAGACTGTAGGTACCACAGAGCTGCAGCCATTTCTCCTGAGAACAGCTTTATGCTGCCAAAGATAATCCATGTGTCTGTGTGTGGTAACAACTTTGAGGAAATACTGACCATGTTGAGATTTGGCCCCTTTAAAGACAAGGAGGATGGCAGCCATTCTGAATAACAACATTTATGAATGGTGGCCTGTTATGGCCTGTTACGGTGTTTCTTTGGGGCTAGTTTTTTTAAAAAATTGACACCTTTAGAGCAGTACACAATTTATAATCTTGTGCAGTATGTCAAGGCAAGGGTGGAAAGAAACTAATTTGGTGTGCACTGCCTCCTCTGAAAAGCATCCCCTCTAAGGAGTATGTAATACTGTGTGGTTGCTTCTTCTCTGTGAAGGGAAACCCCTGAAACTGCAGGAGTAGGCGATCTGACATGACAAGAGAGGTAATTTGGAAAGAAAGTCCTTTCATTAAGCGTAGCAGGTACATGAAATGTGAAGGGGCAAGATGTATTTTTACTCTTCTGGTCTATTGGGTACTGGATAAGTAGGTAATTAAAATGGTACTTAGTGACCCTTCAGATTAACATATATTTGGAGGGTCTTCATTTCTGCTTGAAAGGCTTGGACAGGACTCTCCCTTACCAAACAGCCTAGGAGAGGGATATCATTCCGTGTCATGATATTTCATATGAAAATGCTATCTTCAGAAATTCACAGTGGGAATGTGTAGATGATCTGCCACATACCTACTCACAGAAATATATATGAGCAGAAGTAAAAAGATTTGGTAAATGGTACAGTAGCATCTAATAGATAAATGGTGTAAGAGCAAAATCTTCTCTTGTCTGTCCATGAGCAAAAGTTTCTCCATTTCCCTTAGTGTGACCGGAAATCCGCTTTATCATACAGAGAATCCGTGTGCCTTGGCAGTTCTGCAGTTTAAACTTGATTACCCACCCAGAACTCCCTATTGTAATCCTCAGGTAGACTTGGCTGCTTCTGCATCCACTCCACTGTCCCTTAATTGATTGATATTGCTTCATTTATAAAGTTCCACAGGCAGAGGTGACATTTCTATGGTTGCATTTGGATGGTGTTTGATATATTGCTGAGTACAGAATGGCTGTCAGATTTGACAGCACAGTAACAGCGCTAACCATATTTTATATGCAATTGTGCAAAGTGATTTGGGCATTTCTGAGTTTGAAAGCCGAGAAATTCTTCTTCAAACCACATACAAATTAATTATTTAGAAAAAAGGTTCACAAGTTTTCATTTTTGGCTTTACATATAACAGGAAAAAATTGGATCTGACATACATAGGCAAGAGCTACTGCTTCATAGGAGTCATTACGTGGATTTACACAGGTGTTGCACAGTAGCATTTATCTACTTGTAAATATATATTTATTCATATTGGTGTTTATATTTGCTGATGTAAGAACTGAACAAACATGACTGGTACAGTCCTGATAAGTAGCAAGCAAGAGGTTACTGTGTACCCTATTGGCAGGAGCAGGTGTGCCTAGTGATAGGTGCTTGGATTTTTCTGAATGCCTTATACAGGAGCCAGGAAGTTATTTGCAGAAATCTCAACATCGTGTAATTGAATTTGCCTATAGTGAATTTACCTCATTTAATATAAA